AGACTACAGGGAGGGAGGATACCTTCCACTTCCAATTGCCTAGGCAAGTGGACTGGAAGTGGGAGCGGGTACCTGTCAAATTTGGGTACCCGCTCCCCCCCACCCCCCAAAGGTGCCAATCCTTAATGGGGAGCGGGGGAGCAGTCCTTAAAGCGGAACTTCCCCTAATGGGTGGAGCTCCGCTTTAAAAATCACAATTCCTTTCCCCTTAAAATGTATGTCAAGCAAAAATGTTTTTCTACTTTTGGATAATGTGAGTATGGATTAGAACTCCTGTCAAATTTTTACTGCTATCCAGTGCTCCATTAGAGAGATTTTCCCTCACTTCCTGTTTTGGTGACAATGGCTTCACCAGACAAGAAACAAAGGAAAATCTGTTATACATACCAAATAAAAATCTGACAGGGATCATAGCCTTCCACTACATAAGGAAGTGCTGTTGTTGGAAAATTCCCCTCACTTCCTGTCTTGAAAAATATTGGCAGGACAGGAAGTGATGATAAAACACTCTAGTGAAGCCCAGGATAGAGGTATAAACCCAACAGATATTCTAACTCTTCCACCATTCCATCCAAAACTATGAAAACAATGTTGGGCTTGATATACAATGTAACATTCAATTGCTACTGAATCTTGGTAGCCTGCCAGCACTCTAGTGTAAACAAACAGCAGGTGCATGTAAGCTGCTAAAAAGCACTGAAATCTGACTTTGTTTTTCTGAATTTCTGTTCTATAAAAGCAGGGATGGCTTGTTTTGAAGGCCCTTGTCCAGGGGCAGACTGACCATTTCGAAACTCGGGCACTGCTCGAGGGCCCGGGTCAGTAGGGGGCCCCATGAGATGCCCCTGGTACCTTTTTCATAGGCTTTTTTGAGTTTGGGCAAGGACACAGGGGCCCCATGATCCCCTATTGCCTGGGGGGTCTGTAGGGGGCCCCAAGAGATGCCCCTGGTACCTTTTTTATAGGCTTTTTTGAGTCTGGGCAAGGACACAGGGGCCCCATGATCCCCTATTGCCCGGGGGCCCCATGAGTTGTCAGTCCGCCCCTGCCCTTGTCATGCAGCTTTGAAGGCTTTGAGGATGACTCAAAAAAAACCTTTGAATTAAAGCCTTGGGGAATACCTTAAAGTGGCGGTATTACGAAACAAAGCATTTTTCACAGTCTCAAATCCAACGTACTTTGGCAGTAAATACTTGGCTGTGTATACCATGCTTAATGTTACATCCAAGTTTAGGGTGTAGCATGAAGCATGGTCACACACACAATTGAAGGGTGCTTCTGGCTGGAGCATATAGTGATTATATTAATTTAAAACCTAACATCAGGCCCATACCTCTGTCAGGACCTGAAGCAGGTAGATACCATTGAAACAGCCTGTGCATTGCATGCATGCATGATGCACTGACCGCGTGCTCAATGCTCAGGCTTTAGTGCAAAAAAAAATAGTAAATGCACATTCACATTCATTATAAGGTCAGTATTGCTCGATTTTCTACTTTTTTGCAAAAGGCGAGCTAACACTAAGACTTCATTCAAACTTGTGTGACTTGTCATTTGACTTTGGACACATCGTCGAATGACAAGTCGCAGCCCATTGTTTTCAATGGCACCCATTCAGACTGGTGTGACTTAATGTCGCAGGAACTTTGAAAAGGTGATTGCACTACTTTGATGCAACTTTTGATGTGTAAAGTCGGATAAATATCACACTGGAAATTGCGCGACTTTGGAGTTCCGCAAGTGTGAATGGAGCCTTAAGCTTTTTTTAATGCTTGTTAAGAATATGTCAAAACTTAAATAATCATAGTCTGGGCACAGGTGCACCCTAATGTAAGGGTACATACATTTCAAATTTCCAGTGCAAGGAAATCTTGCTCCAAATTATCTATATTTATGCCTAATAAATGCAGTCCATTCATGGGGCTCTTGTTTTAAAATTAAACTTTGACTAAATGAGTAATTGTGCATCTTATGAGTTATTCACCTCTTGCATACCAAACAGCCAGACAAGTGACACACTTATTTTCTGGTTCAGCAATTAGGCTTCTTTGTCAAGCATCTTGACTATGCCATCTCTCCATCTCCAACCTGGTCACTGCACAACAAATCAGCATCATTATTACTGTTCAGTGATAATAGGAACTGACCCACAAAGCAAGAACAAGTGGAGCAATAACATTGAGCAATAACATTTCTAACAAGTAATACATGTATGTGTATCACAAAAGTGGCCGATCAGCCATAACTTTATGACCATCCACCTAATATTAAGTAGGTCCCCTTTTTGCCACCAAAACAGCCCTGACCTATCAAGGCATGGACACCAATATACCTCTGAAGGTATGGTGTGGTATCTGGCACCAAGCTGTCAGTAGCAGGTGTGAGGTGGGCCTCCATGGCTTAGACTGCTTTTCCAGCACATCCCATAAACACTTGATTGGATTGAGATCTGGAGAATCTAGAAGCCATGTCAACACCTTGAACACCATTGTTGGGTTTCCTGAACCATGCATGAACCATTTTTGCAATATGGCAGGGCAGGTTATCCTGCTGAAAGAAGCCACTGCCATCAGAGAACACCATTTCCATGAAGGGGTATACTTGGTCAGCAACAATGTTTAGGTAGGTGGTATGTGTCAAGTAACATCCACATGAATGGCAGGACTAAAGATTTCCAAGGAGAACATTGCCCAAGGGATCACATTGGCTCTGCTGGCTTGTTTTCTTCCCATAATGCATTCTGCTGCCATCTCTTCCACGGGTAAGCGATGCACGTGCACCTGGCCATCTTCATGATGTAAAAAGAAAACATGATTCATTAGAATATGCCACCTTCTTCCATTGTTCTTTGGTTCTTTGGCCACCTTCTTCCATTGTTCAGTTCTGATGCTTACATGCCCATTGTAGGAGGTTTTGGCTGTGGACACAGGTCAGCATGGATTTTTTCTGCTTTCAAAACCAGCTTCAGGGACAACATGTTTACTTTCGGTCTAATATATCCCATCGACTTTCAAATGTCGTTGTAAAAAGGTAATCAATATTATTCAACCTGCCTGTGGCTGATCGGTGTATATACATATTAACTGTGTGTTTAGAGGCTTGTCTGGATATCTACTTTATCCTTCTTTCTTTTGTGGTTTTATTTTTTTTAACCTGTTATAAAAGCCTGTTATAATGTTTCTGGGTCTTATCAGGGAAGAAAATGTCACCCCTAGATGTTGTTCTAATCACCAAATATATATATATATATTTATTTATTTATTAGGTTCAAAGGTATACTGCAGGGAGAAGCCCCATCTATGAATTTCCAGCAAGAATAATACCATTCATCATCATTTTCATTACAAATAATTGCAGGCACACTAATGAAGACAATGTGTGAAAAGTGATTGGATGGTTAAAACCCAACATTGTAGCTAGAAAGACTTTAATTGATTTTATTGCACAGAGACCAAGCCTTATACATAGTGCACCAGGACTTTATCTAACTTCATTTCCATTGATTTTCACTGATAGACCTCTCATTTGTCCGAGGCTTAAGTACTAAAGTAATAAAGGGATAAAAGACTTTGTAATACAGATTCTGAATAAAATGTCCACACATAATTTCAACAGAATAAAACTGCATGTTCTGCCGTTACCAAATGACAAAAACAAGGAGTGTGGCTAACATGAGCTAATCTGCTAAAAAAAAATATCTATAATCTCAATTATTTTCAAAAGCTTTTGCCATTTAGGTTCTGAAATAATACAAGATGCATTTCATCTCAACAATGGCCCAGCAAAAAGCATGGAATCAAAGGGACAGCACCCGATATTTTCACCAGAGATTAAACCATGGAGTTGGTTGCACAATACTCATCAATAAGTGTTTTCTATCCATTCTCAGTGTTCATTTCTAGATGCTAATTTAAGGAATAATCTACCATGCAGAGACATGTAATGACAGAAGAAAATGCTTCCAAGATTATTATGTATGATGAAAGGCAACAGCCTTTGCCTATATTCAATACCCGCCATCACAGCTGCACATTCAGATCAAACACTGGACTTAGTGGGCTGTGAGTGTAGTCGCCCATAGTAACCAAACAGTACTAATCTTCCATTGTTCTGCCCATTCTAGAAATGCACACCATCTAGTATTTTACTGCTTTGCCAGATAAGTTCCCTCAGGTTTTTAAACTCTGTAAGATCAATTTTGTCTTCAAAGGTTTTAAGCAACATTCCTTTTAAACTTTGTTTTAGGCCTCCTGCACACACGCGACACCTAAAAACGCCACATTTTTAGGCATTCAGGCATTCCATTTACTGATATAAATGCAGCCTACTGTTTTAATGGACCTGTAGATCAGTAAAAAAAACCCGAAAATCTGCATTGCCAGTCAGTATTTTTACGCTTTCACACACATATATGCACAAATACGCGCATATGCCACCTTCCCTTGATTTATAAAAAGGTAGAAGAATTTTTATGTGTGTGTATGTGCGAATACGTGCAAATAAATAGCACGTTCTCTTGTTTTTATGCCAGGAATATCTGATGTATCATACATCAGTACCGTGTGCAAGAACCCTTATTCAGACAGCTACGAAGTGCTTGTGCACAATGTAGTCATGTAACTCTCTGTCCCTTGCAATAAGGAACAAAGGGGGGTGAATTGTTATGGTAAAACAGTCTTTTTACACCACAGCTTTATCAGATGATCACTATGAATTGGCCATGATCACTACTTCTATGTTGATGGTTTTTTGTACCATCACCTTCACTGTGATTAAGTTGTTATTAACTACTTTAGGCCTTTCACACCTACGATCAGGGCCATCAGTGGATTTAGAAAATATTAATCTGCAGATTCCTGCGACTAAAATCACAGGCTTGTGCGAACAGCTATGGATCCTGTTCATGTAGCAATAGAATACACACACTATATTGCCAAAAGTATTGGGACATTGCTCCAAATCATTGGATTCAGGTGTTTCAATCACCTCCCAGGCTACAGATGTATAAAATCAAGCACCTAGGCATGCAGACTGTTTCTACAAACATTTGTGAAAGAATGGGTCACTCTCAGGAGCTCCGTGAACTCAAGCATGGTACCGTGATAGGTGGCCACCTGTGCAATAAGTCCATCCATGAACTTTCCTTGCTACTAAAGATTTCACGGTCAACTGTTAGTGGTATTATAACAAAGTGGAAGCAACTGGGAACAACAGCAACTCAGCCACAAAGTGCTGGCCACATAAAATGACAGAGCAGGGTCAGCAAATGCTGAAGTGCGAAGTAGTCGCCAACTGTCTGCACAGTCAATAGCTAAAGACCTCCAAACTTTATGTGGCCTTCAAATTAACACAACAGCAGTGCATAAAGAACTTCATGGAATGGGTTTCTATGGGCGAGCAACTGCAGCAACTGCATCCAAGCCATACATCACCGAGTGCAATGCAAAATGTCGGATGCAGTGGTGTAAAGCACACCACCACTGGATTCTAGAGCAGTGGAGATGTGTTCTCTGGAGTGACCAATCATGCTTCTCTGACTGGCAATCCAATGGACGTGTCTGGGTTTGACAGTTGCCAGGAGAATGGTACTTGCCTGACTGCATTGTGCCAAGTGTAAAGTTTGGTGGATGGAGGTTTATGGTGTGGGGTTGTTTTTCAGGGTTTGGGCTTGGCCCCTTAGTTCCAGTGAGGGAGCTCTTAAGGTGTCACAGCATACCAAGACATTTTGGACAATTTCATGCTCCTAACTTTGTGGGAACAGTTTGGGGATGGCCCCTTCCTGTTCCAACATGACTTTGCACCAGTGCACAAAGCATGGTCCATAAAGAAATGGATTAGCGAGTTTGGGGTGGAGGAACTTGATTGGCCTGCACAGAGTCCTGACCTCAACTGAACACCTTTGGGATGAATTAGAGCGGAGACTGCGAGCCAGGCCTTCTGGTCTGACATCAGTGCCTGACCTCACAGATGTACTTCTGGAAGAATGGTCAAACATTCCCATAGACATACACCTTGTGGACAGCCTTCCCAGCAGAGTTGAAGCTGTTATAGCTGGAAAGGCAGGGCCAACTCAATATTGAACCCTACGGACTAAGACGGGGATGCCATTAAAGTTCACGTGCATCTAAAGGCATGCGTCCCAATACTTTAGGCAATATAGTGTACATTTGACTGGCAGTTGACTGGCCCTGCAAGCAGACAGATTGTACTTAGATGACCAACTGTGCTAAATAACAACTCCTAACAGGTTGTGCCTAAACAGTTACCCAGATTGCAGGAGCACCATGTATTATTTACATGAATGTGTATGATTTATGAGACATTAAGACTGAGTAAAACAAAAGTAAATACCGACAAAAATAATGACAAAATGACAAAAAATAAAGTAATAGTTCAGAAAATATCACATGAATTTGTTATTATTTTGAGTAATGTATATATTCAGGGGTGGACTGACAACTCATGGGGCCCTCGGGCAATAGGGGATCATGGGGCCCCTGTGTCCTTGCCCAAACTCAAAAAAGCCTATGAAAAAGGTACCAGGGGCATCTCATGGGGCCCCCTACTGACCCCGGGCCCTCGGGCAGTGCCCGAGTTTCCAAACGGTCAGTCTGCCCCTGTATATATTATAGACACAAATATAATAATACTATATTAATAAAGTTAAAAACGAAAGCAAGGCACCTTAAGTAACAAAAAAGTGTTCATGAATCATGTATACTATTGCACAACAGAGGCATCTTCAACATGAAGCCTCTGAGACACTTTCTGAACTGACGCTGAACTTGCATAGTGTCAGATGAAGGCACACAGGGCAGTGGCCACCCTCTCCTACACAGATCCTTAACAGCAACACTTCCTTGATCTCTGAAGCACATCACATGTGTTTAGTAAACTGTATACAGACCCGAAAGCTCCCACCAACATCATATTGCATGCACTTAGGTCTTCCCATGGAACTTCTAGAAAGGAAAGACCCTGCAGTTGAAAAAAAAAAGTTCTCATGGATGGAATTCATTAGTGATTCAGAGATAGAGACGTCAGCAAGCCCTATTAATCATTTACTTGGTGTCACACAAACAAAATTGGTCTTTTAGAAGAGTCTGTAGCATTTGCATGGCACTGCAGTCTTGTCTGCCAGCCTGCACAATTGAACAAGGTGTCCTGGAGGACTCCAGACTTGGCAAGACAATGTGCATTTTTTATAGACTATAACAAGCATGGAAGAATGACCTATTTGTCAGATTTTGCTGTGGCAAACTTTTGTTACATGCGAAGTGCACAAAAGTTGATCTCCAAAGTTAATCATGAAATGAAAATCCTTCTAAGTAATAAACATAAAACATTTTCATGAGAAAAAGCTTTATATTAGAAAACATTAGTATTAACCATTGTGTATGGTACATATACCCCATCTTTATTTAAAACTTAACTCCAGACAATAAAAAACTGAATGCAGTTCAAGTATAACTAAATGTAAAACTTTTATTTTTTTTTTTTTTTTTTTTTGTTTTGAACAGAGTAGAAAGGGATTACATAGTTATATGATTAGTCTGGCTGCAAAAAGACAAAAGTCCATCCAGTTCAACCATTAAAAAAAATTATAATCCTATACCCACAGTTGATCCAGAGGAAGGCAAAAAACCCCAGCAAAGCATGATCCAATTTACTCCTGCACGGAAAAAAATTCCTTCCTGATCCCCCGAGAGGCAATCGGATATTCCCTGGATCAACTTTACCTATAAATGTTATTATCTCTGGAGGCAGTTTCTCTCACTTCATGTTTTGGCTCTTGGACAGGAAGTGAAAAGAAATCTCCCCAATGGGACAGAGATGGCAAAAAAGTGACAGGGGTTATAATCCTCCCTTACTCTATCCAAAATAAAAGAAAACATTTTCCCATAGTTCTAGTTTAAGAATGAATTTAAAAATTACATTAACCACTTCAAGTCCGGACACTTTCACCCTCTTCCTGTCCAGGCCAATTTTCAGCTTTCAGCGCTATCACACTTTGAATGACAATTGCGTGGTCATGCAAGACTGCACCCATATGAATTTTTTAGCATTTTTTTTAAGACAGATAAAACTTTATTTTGGTGGTATTTATTCACCACTGGGATTTTTATTTTTTTTTTTGCAATATAAATGAAAAAGTCCAAACATTTTGAAAAAAAAAGTGTTTTTCTTATAAAATTTTGCAAATAAATAATCTTTCTTCATAAATATTGGTCAAAATGTATTCAGCTATCTTTTTAGTGAAAAAAAAAAATAACCCAAATTAGTTTATAACCAAAGATTATAATTTTTCAAAAAATGTTTTTCATTTTTACTTTTTTTTTTATTATTATTTATATTTGTTTTTCTTACATACTGTAACCCTAGCAGTACAGTGTCACCATAGTGTCACCATAGTGACACTGTACTACTTGTGGGGGGTGATGAAGATTTTTTTTTCTTTTTACACGGATTGCTTTTACACCCATAAAGGCTGTAAAAGCAATCATTTCTCCTTCTCTCTGGCTGCATTCTTGCAGCCATTAAGAAATACTGTGAGAGCTGTGATTGGTCACAGCTTGTCACATGGTACAAGGCTGTTGTGAATAGCCCTGTACCATGTGACCTCTGTGATCATTCACAGATTTCATTAGTAGTAAGCAATGATGTCAGCAAGTGACATCTTGCTTACTACTATTCATGTGATCACTGATTGGCCAATCAGTGATCACAAGACCGGGACCTCACACAGAGGGCCCATACAGCGATCACTGTTCCTCTGGACACAGTGGGCACCGGATTGCGGTGCTGCGTGCTCCCAGGGAGCGCGCACAGGCAGGGAACGCGGGAGAATCTTTATAAAGGCCACCCGCTCCTGCACTGCTCCCGTCCAGCTGTTTATGTACATGGGTTAATCTTTGACTAGTGCAATACCTGAATTTGTTTGGTATCAGTCTCTTGGAATACTCTGTACAGCAACACGGTGAATGGGAGGGACAGCACTAGGAGCCAATCAGGTACACTTTACAGGCATGATGATAGGAAGAAGGTGAACAAAGTGTTGAGCTCATGTGTGTGTTGCTGGTCTTTCACTGTACAATAACGTGGGCAGGGAGGTGACCTAGCTGTATTGCATAACGCCATTAGACAGGTCAATTTAGTTTCAGTTTAACTTTGTTCAACTTTGCATATTTCAACTGTGAATTTTGTTTTCAATATATAGCTTGTCTGGAGTTCGGCTTTAAATTTGACTACCAAACAGCCTATTTTACCATACAGTGATTACACTGATACACTAAAAAGTAGATTGGAAATGACCTTTAATGCTCAGCATGTTCTTTTTATCCAAGGATGCTTTTCACTTAGACAGTTACAAAATGCATGTTATTCTTTGCAGACTGTAGACTGACACTCATATTCACACGGCCAATTTGAGAATTACACCAACTATAATGAGCGGAAATCTCTGGTGGGTTCCAAAGGTGTTTGAGACCAGTAGTGACCATCCAGCCTGTAAATATCAAGGACAGGCTGAAATGTGCCACGGCTGCACACATTTAACTGCACATCTGAGGTGTTACATGTGATAAAGGACAGATGAGCAATGATATATGCAAATGGATGGGGGTTGATGTAGTAAAACTGGAGAGTGCAAAATCTGGTGCAGCTCAGCATAGAAACCAATCAGCTTCCAGGATTTTTTGTCAAAGCTTAACTGAACAAGCTGAAGTTAAAAGCTGATTGGCTACTATACACAGCTGCACCAGATTTTGCACCCTCCAGTTTTAGAAAATCAGCGTTCACCAGCACCCTGGTTGTTCATGGAGAAATTGTAGATGTCCCATTCATGGAACTCTGTGAATGAATGATGGGGCTGGGAGGACAGAGAACTGCACAGCCACATTTTGTTTTAAATTCGGACTGGTGCGGGTGGAAGTTCCCTAACCTGCTGTCACAGGGAGGGGGGGAATCGGGGCTGAGAGCTGTAGGAGCATGTGACGTGTTCCACCCTAAAAACAGATGGAACAAGTAACAGGTTCCTGAAGGTGAACTTATCCTTTATGAAGAATACATTACATTGCCAAGCCTTGTGTTAGAAAAAAGGGTAATGTTTGATTTAAAGTCAGTAAGCGGGCCTTGTCAGCAAGGGGGCCTTGGAAGCCCATCCATTTTGAATGGGCTGTCTTAACACAACACATACTAACATGCAAAATAATGCTGATACACCACAAACTAAATGGACTCTTAGAGCTGCATTACAAGCAAGTTGTTGTCAGTAGCCTTATTAAGGATTAAGAAACAGATGATGCCGACAGTCAGTTAAAATGTATTGCCCAAATTACAAATAAATATGTACTTTCCAACAATCACAGATTTCTTATCTGCCAGTACTGGAGGTAGAAGAAACCAATAACT